CGTGTCTCATATTATTTGTTATATTTTCATTATTTATTACTTTCACTTGACTCACAAAAATAATTTTGTTCGAAGAACATTTTTATATGCAGTTGTACTTCGCAGAACTTCACTTGCAATTTGCAATTTCTAGTATATTTTATATTAATGCAATCTTCTTTATTCCATTGATGTAGGCCCTACACTTAAAAAGAAAAAAAAAACATTTACGAGCTTGACAGAAATAAAAATAAACGATCAATCTAACAATACATAACAATTCAAATTCTCATTTTTCGTTTTATGTAGAATAGGTTTATTACCGTTCATGTGGCAGTATATAACGGCCTATCTTGATTGATGCTATGAAACACAGACATGAAGGTCATAATTGAATGCGTTTCTGCTGACATGTCAATGCGTTACAGATCCACAATGTTAACGCATTACTACCGACACACGACGGGAAAAACCAACAAAACAAAATCAAGATACAGTACATCGATTTTTAATGAAATTCAGGTAATTACCATTCTAAAAGTTGGTTTTTATTGATTATTAAGTAGTTTTCTACTCTGGTGTGCTAATATTTTTATCATTTTTGCACCCGTGTGTCCCCGAGTGGTCCCGTGTGTTTCGTGTGGTATTTAGTAGGACCCTTTGAACATAATTTTCTTTTTGCTCCACTCACTGCTGGGCCCCTTGATTGAATTTGCTACTGAAATGCTCATCATAATATTTTTTTTCAAATTTTCCGGTTAATCATAATCACTCCCGCTTACATACTTTGTGCAAACTAACACTCTGAAGTCGAAGACCCATCAACTTTCATACAAGTTCAAGTGGGTCCGATTGTCGGTAGCCGATCATTTCAGTCGCGCTTCGTTTCGGTCGCGCTTCGTTTCGGTCGCAGTTTATTTCGAACAAATATATGGAGCGCCGAAGGAGTTGCGAAAACGAAAAAATTAATATGCCTAGGCCTAGGCCCTATATATTTTAGTTCGTGAATCGGTTTATCATAGGCCTAAGTATTATTGTTTTGCTATCTTTCCACTAACAAAATATCTTTCTACTATATTCTCTTTCTTCCATTTACGGTGATATATTCATGATTGCAACATGATCTTGTAATTGAAAAAATGGAATTTAGTATGTGCTTCATATGCTATTCTTTTTAGATTAAAAGGCAAAATACTGAAAAACAACAATGCTGTGGGAAACAAAGGCTGGATCTCAGTAGCGGTACAACAATGATAAGCAACAGGTAAAAAGTAAATGTAAATAAACAGCCAGAAATAGAACCAGAGCTTTCGGTCCTTCCTCAGTGGCGAGTGATATATATATATATATATATATATATATATATATATATATATATATATATTGGGCGCCAAATTTTATGTAGCGGGTGACCACTACTTGAATTAAGCGAATCCGTCACTTAATTCGTCGTGGGGGCTCGGGTTCCAGTTACGCGCAGGCTCAGTCGGTAGATGTTTACATATATGGCCACAAATAAAACAAGAGGAACCGTTTCTAGTTATATACTTAATAATGATTTATTGGGCAATGGGGATTACAATAGGGACTAAATTGGACCTAACCTAACCTAACAAACTACTCACGTGAGACCGTCGGCAATGCAGCGTACGCTTGTAGAAAGTAAAATAATAATAAATGCAAGAAGTCCAACAAAAATAGAGTTCAGAATATATGGCAAAACAGCGAGTTCCAATGATATAACAAAGTCAAAAATCGCTTCTACTTGCAATCGTCTGGTTGCACTTGGTACCGGTAACTGTTACAGCAAATCAAACTGTTCTTCTGATTCAAGTAAAGAAAATAGTGGAACCAAAAGAGTAGTAATTCTTCTTCCTTTTTAATTCAGGAAGGTTTCCAATCAACAGCTTTCTGAAGAAGATTCACATTTATCCTAAGTCTATGATGTACATATATATACATATATATATACATATATATCATAATTATT